GGGAAGTCGGAGCTAGATCCGTAAGATGGGAAGCCAGGGCAACGCTACGGTCCCGATGCCTATGCATATACCAAGGGAGAGCCCAACTCAGAGGAACCCGGCTAAAGGGAGACCATCATGCGATACAAGGATCCTGTGCATCCATCTCCGCTGTTACTAGGTAGTGGTCGGACATTGAAGCAGTTCCGATTTCCACCCTCAGGCATCTGTCCCAGAGATTCCCTCTGACTAGAAAAAAATCAAACCTGCGTCTCACCGGTGGGGCTTGTGAGCCGTGCCACGTGTATTCCTGAGCGTCAGGATGCAATGTTCTTTACGCATCCGTTAGCTGTTGTGATTGCATAATGGCATACAGCAGCCTTCCATCTGCTCGGACTGGTTCGAGTTTTGACGAGTCAAGTCCTGAATTCAATACGGTATTCCAGTTCGCAGCTATCAAAAGATTAGAACTGTTTGGAAGTATTGCAGGAAGTTCCGCCAAAAAGGCAAGCCTATCATTGTAAGTAGCCGGTACATATACTGACATTACGGTCCATAACTCCTCAAATATCACAAACTGCACCCAAACCCAACGCCCCCATAAGTCCGTCATGGTACCCGTTACACAGATTTCCAAGTCTTTATGAAAGAGGATACCCACTCCCCTCGGGTACTTCGTGCCAGCGACCAAAATTGTGGGCCGGTCCACCAGTTCATCCCCCCAATACGTTCCTCGTCCAGCTTGTTTTCTTGTAAACACATTATGTGTGTTTCCTTCTCGTGCATCCACGGTTTAAGTCTTTCTCTCTTCCTCCTAGTTCCAGTATCACATAGACCACATACATTCCAAATCGTGATATTAATTTTGTGCCTTGGGGGCATTTACCCTTGAAGCACCGCCTGTTTTTTGGATTCGGTTCGCATTTCCCATCAGGGATTTGTTCTTGGGGTCCTTTCATGCGCTTCCCTTACTTTTGTTAACAGTGGAATCCCATGGGAGGCGCAGGTAGCTTAAGAAAGGTGGCCCCAAGAGCACACCCTTTTGAGATGCATTCTGAAGCCATTCTGCAGTCGCCGTAGCAGAGATCTCCTCCGTGATTCTGATCCAATTTAAGCTTTCATTGTTGGCAGAAGAGAGGTGAATTAGAGGTGTCCACGTAAAACCTGCCCATTCAATATTCAGAATCTGGGTATCATCAATTTTCCCTTCGATACAGGCCATGTACAGTCGGGCACTCGGCTCGTTGTTCCTCTCCACCGTATGGATTCCCATATTCAGGTTTGGAATCATCCGGGCCGGGAGTCCTTCATGTACTAATCCCTTCACCTTTCGCAGAATAAAGGGCTCAGTCAAACAATCGTTCATACCAATTGGAGTAGAGGGAATGGATACCGTTCCACTGTCATCCGTCCTTGTCAGAAAAACAACCTGATCTGCTCCCGCCACTAAAATAATGGGGACCAAGAGGCGAGGAACTGCCATCTGCTCCTTTGTTAGCGAGCGGATTGGTCCCGCTACTGACAACGCAGCAGAGGTTTTTCGATAGGACCCCCTTTTTTCCAACGACTCCCTGCTTGTATCCCTGCTTGAACTGGAGCTGGATTCCTCCGTCCCTTTCCTACTGTGTTCTCGTGATCCTGGATCCGGCAAGATACGGGACCTCTTCAAAGGGGATGAGCTCGGACCTTTAGTAGTTTTAGCACTGCTGACTCGTCTCAAATCCTCAAGAGCTCTGGATGCATCTGCATCTGCTGCGTCAATATTTATCTTATTCACAGGACTTTTGTGATCTTCCTTCATTTTATCCGAGTTCATCGACTTCTCCGAAGACCCCGATAAAGAACGTACAGGGGACTTCGAGACTTCCTTCTGTCCTGTGGAGGTTTTGCTCATCTGAGACGTTTTCCCTGACTTACTAACAGGTATTTTTTCTCTCAGCTTTCCATGTTGAATCCCTTTCGTGAGTTCCTTTGGATCATTTTTGGTCCCAGACATCCCAAATGATGGGCTCTGCGCAGCTCCCTCTGTTTTCCTAACAGCCTGTTTCTGATATCTGTTCCACCCTGAGGTTGATACCGTCTGACCCATTGGTACAAATCCAGAAAAGGGGGGGAGTGGGAGAGACTCTTTGGTAGGAGGGTCTACAAACGGATCCGATTCCTTCGCCAAACAGCAGGCATTCGTCTTCGTATGATAATGCATACGGCAGGTATTGCACCATGGTGTGGCCGCAGATATGACCTCTATGTGGTATTCCCCCTTTTTTGGGATACCCACAATTATCTTCCTCTTTACACGCAGTTCGGCCAGCGGATCCAAATCAAAACGCACATTACCCGGCTCAGGTTCATCGGAGAATTCTTCAAACGGGTGCAATTTAACTACCTTCCCAAAATTTTGCTCTACCGCAATGTGGAGAGCTGCCATAAGTTGCAGGGGGACGTTCAGGCAGCGTATCCAGAATATCTTAGGTTTCCCTGTGCTTTTGAGGAATTTCATCTCCGCCAAATCCATCCATGGTATAAACCAGATATCGTATGATTTACCCTTCAGCTCCAAGGCCACACCACCCTCCTGCCTCAACCAGTCTGCGATCTCCTTGGTACTTGCCACGTATGTAGCAAGGTTTTTCCCCTCATTCTGATAACGGCCCCGTTTCGTGTCTAAATCGATATCTCCATTGTCATACCAAGAGTTCTCGTACACCCGACTCAGCTGTTTCTTAATATTGTTGGATAGGTTTCCGACTTCCTGATGAAACTGGACCGTGACTGCATGGTCTCTGAGCCACTCCGTTTGTGCATCCGAGAAGTCTTCATCCAAATCCAATCGAGCGAAGTCTTCTCCCAATTCAGTCGTCCCGATACAGAGACCTGAAGGGAGGAGTCCATCCTGAAAGCATACATCCAAAAGTTCTTTAATATATGCCTTCTCTTCAGTTGTGTAATTTCATTTTGTTGTGGACTCTGAATTGGATGCACTTGCCGCATATAAATTAGGAAGGTTCGGTTCTGTATCCATGATACCAGATTATGAGTTGTGCCGTAGGATTCGCTTAAAAGTCAGGTTAGGTACAGACCAACTTCCAATACCATTTACATGAGTTATATAACTTCCATACGGAAGGATATACCTCCCCTCACCCCTGCTTTGGAATAGTAAGTCCGAATTCAGTCCAGCTCCTCTTAGCTCGACGGCTGTCAGATCAGTGTGCTTTGCTAGAGTGGACTGGGGCGAACTTCACTGCATCCACCCTACTTCTCTTTCCATTTCTCTCCTGCCCCTCTACATACCGTACCACTGCATCCCTACCAAGCAGTTGGATGGGGGGGGGAAGGGATCGAAAAATGCTTCGGGGGGTCTGAGGGGTATCTTTGCATCTAACGTGGCCCAGTCATTGAAGATTAGGTGGTAGTCTCTCTCTATGACTGCTCCCTGTGAACCCTCATTTACCCCCTTTCGCTCCCCTTTCCATTCCACCGTTTCGATTCTTCCTCCTTCGGGTCCTCCCAGCCAGCTTTTGCAGAATTCTTGTATTTTGTGTTTAATGTCTGTTGGTGTTTGCAGATTCTGAATATTTGCTTTAACCATGTCATATTTGGCTGATATTTCAGTTTGGATCCGCTGTATCACACTTTCTGTGAATTATGGGCCCTCTAGTCTCACCCCTTTTATTTCATAGGTGCAGCGTCGTCTCCACAGTGCCCAGAGGACCGCTCTTCGACCTGTTGTGAACATGTTAGTGGTGTATTCGTCTGGGAGTTCCGACAGCCTCCTGGGCCAGGTCTTGCAGAGCACCGCCTTCCAGTCCCAGGGCCAGGGCAATATTGTACCTAATTGGCTCCAAATTTTGTCCCACCATCGCCACATCCATAGTGCCCCCGGGCACTGTAGGAATATGTGTTCTATTGTTTCTGGGCGTTTGCGAGCCGGAAAGGCATTTGTACATAGTTTGCACCAGGGAAGATCCAGGCCTCTTTGCTCCAGCGTTGTTCTGTCTATTAACCAGTTATTGGTTGGCAGGCAACGATGCTCTATCTGCCATTGAAGTGACGCAATCTTGGCGGGTTTCGCCTTAGCTAATCGAAAGCATGTCACCGCCCATACTTTCGCCTGACTGATGTTCAGGTGGGTTCTCCAACGGTCACTAACTTGGTCGGCAAGGTTGGTTCTTGGACGAAGGAGTCTGTATGTTGATTTCACCGTTAACCCAAAAAGTGTTTTGGTGCAGTTCCTTCCTCTCCTTCGTGGAGGTGTCCATGACCACTCCAATGGATCGAGAGGGAGTTGCTGAATCGGGGTGGCCGGCCTAAAGGCTATCCATTGCCGGTCTTCCTGGAGTACCCTGATGCGGCAAAGATCTGTTTTTGAGTGTGCGGACGTTTCTACGTCGGTGTACCTGTGAAGGATGTTTCCCTTCCGAACACAGAAACGGTTCACCGTAACAGATCCATTCGGGCGCAAGACAACGACCCTGCCCACACCCCCCATGCTTTCCGGGCCTGCAACCCAATCGTCCTTCTGCAAGGTAGGACCCCTGCGAAGGATTCTTAACCAGTCAATAGGGATCATTTCCGTCAGTCGTTCCAGGGCTTCTTAGGGGTGGTGACAGTATCGCAGCTTCTCCTGCAACAGGTCGGGGTCTAACCATTCCTTCTGTTACGGGTCCCATATGTCATGTATCCGTGTGACTCCCCTCTTCACCCATCCATGCCACGGTGAGTCCATACAATGGAGGGTTTGGTCATTCGTGTCTACTATCCACCTGTTGCCGAAGAGGGGTTGCCGAGCCACTTCCTCCCATCTTATTGGTGATGTTTTGTCCAGGAGGGGGAGGCTTCTCCAAGTTGCAAGGAGGTTGGCCCAGAAGGGGTCTTTGGCCAGGTCATCCTTAAGTGCTTGTCTGGGTGTGATGGGACGGGGGTCCCGCTGCTGTGACGCTCTGGGAATGGGCCAGCTTCTATTTTCAAGCCATATTAGCGGGTCCGTGCCTTTTTTTGTTTGAGGGGCCATTCTGGAAATATGCTCCAGGGCCAGCCCCTGCCATGGGGAATCGTTGTTGAAAATGAGTCGTTTAATCCATTGTAACGCCAGTGCCTTGGTCTGTGTGAGCGGGTCTAAAATCCCTAGGCCTTTCTTTTCTTGTGCGAAGACGTATTCTTCTTCAAATGATTTTGCTTTGCCGCTTCTCTTTTCACTCAAGTGTGATCTGTGGAGACGAGGTTACTCGGATTGGTGTTTCTATCAAGCGTTGCACAATTTTTCAAAGAAGTCTGAATCGCTGGTTTATGGAACGTTTGGCTACCAGTTTTGACTGACTGGCGCCGGTTTTTGGATGAGAAGAAAGAGGCAGTACTCCCCCCGGTAGGGGTAGAGTAGGTTGGGTCCTAAGGGAGATCGTTTTTCTTTTTCTTTACATTTTCTTTTTTTTTCTTTTCTTTTCTTTTTCTTATGCTAGGGGGTTGTGCTAGGGGGTTTTATGCTACCTCCTTTCTCTTCAGACAGCTTCTGGATTCGAACGCTGGTGGGGATCGTGCTTTGAGGTTGTACTGTTTCTAAACTTTTACTTAAGGCAGATATTGGATTTGAACGCTGGTGAGATACTACGCAGTAATTGCTCCTCGGATCGACGTGGATTGGACTTGGGTGGTCCCTGGTCCAGTTCGGACCGTAGGTAGCAACTTTTTGAATTTGGTCTGTTTTTTTTGGTATCATGCACTGAGCTGGTAGGAGTTAGTGTGACCTATTCGCTGTTTCAAGTGATTTTGTGGCGGTTGTATGGAAATTGTGGAGGGACTTGTAGTATGTACTTAGTCTTTCGTTTGCTCTGCAGTAGGCCTCGATCGCGGTACCTCTGTTTTAGATTGTAGTAGTTGGCGTGTTTTGCGCGGCTTCTTTGGAGTATTGTCGGATCTGAGAAGAGTTATTGTGGTGACGTCGTAATATTAATAGGTAGACTTTTGCCCCTGATGATCCTGGTTCTTGGCGGTCAGGTGAAACCGGTATGATCCTGATTCTTGGCGGCCAGGTGCAACCGGTAGGGCTCACGCTGTTGCGCCCCCACCGTTTCAGGGCCTGGCTCGATGTCTCTCCCCGGGCCGAGTGCGGTGGGTTGGTGGATTGGGCGGCTGTCACGCAGGATTTTGGAGAGTTTTAGAAAAATTGGAAGTGAAATCACAAGCAGCCTTTGTCACACAATCGAGTAGTTAGGGTTATCCCTCCTGCGAGCGGCGAGACGACTTAGAGTGAGGTGTTCGGTTTTATCGATTGCACCTGACCCCGTATAAAAGTTAGGCTCAAGGTCACCGGAGTCCCTATTATCCAGGAGTCCTTTTAGTAGCCTTGAGTGTAACCTGTTATGATAAGGAGTGATAAATAACTTGTTATCTCATGCATAAACATTCCATGCATTACAGGTAATGCATCATAAGTCAAAAGACACTGAGAGGAAGAAAAGACCAGAAACCAGACTCTGCAAGAGCATGGTCAGAGACACAAGACTGAAGAGTTGTACACAAAGAATGGAGGAAGCAGCCATAAAGAAGGGGCTGCAGTCACTGGTAAATCATAATAATGCCATATTACATCTCAGTGACTAAAAGTTACGAGCCTCAATCAATAATGACAAGCGGTACCCCCTCATGAGTGGGTTCGACTGCCTGGGACTCCATATCTGGTACACGCTGGTCCTCCTCGTCATTGAGAACCTGAGTGGCCATCGACTCTGGAACCACGTAGCTGATGTCAAAGGATGCCATAGGATCAATCTTGCTGATATATGCCATACATTTGGCCATCTCCTCGTCCGCAAAGCTTCGAAGGTACAACTGCTCAGCGAGGGAAATGTTGCCAGTGGCACCGATCAAGATCTCGATCCGTCCCTTGCCGTAGATGTAGTCGTATGAAACCTCCAGAAATCGGTCTCCATAGAGTGGCTTCCGAAAAGCCTGTATGACGAAATCTGCTCCCACCAAATGGCTGTAGCCATCCTTAAGATATGGGACTGATCCCTTCCCCCTTGAAGGGCCGACTACCTCCTCTGACCTGGGTCCTCCTGACGTGTAATGTCCAAATCAATCACCCTCAAGCAAATATCATGCCAAAAGATAAGCAACCCGCCGTAGGGCTGCTTTCTGCCTGCGTCTCGCTCCAGTGACCAATGTCATAAGATGCTCTAGGCCAACTCCAAACTCAAGCGTACTCAGTCCCTGTGAGTATCCCAGTCAAAATAGTCCCCCAGGTCAACATCGCTCACGCAGCAAGGCTCCTAGTCTGACTCATCTGCCTCTGACCTCTATAGACAGGTGGTAATAGGTATCCAGGATCTGACCACCTCGCTCCTGATCCTCTTGTCTTGACGCCTCTTTTCCTTGCTGCCACCTCTGCTCAGAGGTTTAGGATTATAACCGTCAAAGTCATAGAGGGCACCACCCGGTGCAAAAGGGATCTGGGGAAACACCACATGTAACCAGTGTTCCCTCCAGTAACTCTCCCTGCGGAAGATATAGTCAGCAATCCGGTCATAGGTCGTTCCCTTCACTCCCTGCCCAACATCTCTTACGTGATAAGTGATCACCAATGTGTACCCCGATGTGGGAGAATCGTTGGCCCGAATGACGAAACTCTGATGCCCAATGTGTCGATAGCAGAACTTCTCAACTATCTTACCCCATGTAGGGGTTGTCTCACGTTGAGAAGCCAGCTTGACCAATCTGCAAAATAATATAGAATGCCCCTGGCAAGCTGCTATGCCAAGCAATAATGTCCTGGAGACGAGGGGGATATCAATAGCCCAGGAAAATGACCCAACTCGATAGGGTCAAAGAGGACAGCACCTCAATAGACCCTCAAGCCAAACTGGTGGCAACCAACTCAATATAGGGGCCCGCCTGAATGGGCCTGGCTGAACAGTAATCAACTCGAGACAGGGGCCCTCCTGAATGGGCCCGGCTGAACAGCAACAACTCGATATAGGGGCCCGCCTGAGTGGGCCCGGCTAATCAGCAAACAACTCGATATAGGGGCCCGCCTGAGTGGGCCCGGCTGATCAGCAACAACTCGATATAGGGGCCCGCCTGAATGGGCCCGCCTGAACAGCAACTCAGCAGCTCAGCAACTCATCATAGCAATATCATACGAACATCTCTGCAGCAAGTGGACTAGAACATGAGGACTGAACTGCAAGTATCATAACTGAGAGGGACTGGTCATCAAGATATTATCTATGGAGGGGCCAGTTGCAAAATACTGCGCGTGCAAACCGGACCGTCCTGATATCATGTGTGTGGGAAAAATACCGACCGCACGGGGTCTGATATGAATATCGTTCATGCAAAGACTGATCAGCAAGAAAACAAATCGGCGGGAGTTGGGGCTAGTCATATCATCAAAGACATTCAGTCATGTCCTCAAGACTAATCACACTCGCTGGGCGCGCGTCCCCGACCATCGTATAGGCGGGACATGCGTTCTAGAATCATCAGAGCACACACTCATATAGCCTACTCGAGCCTGGGCGCACTCATGTGACGATACCAAGCGTGGGCGCGCATGGGCGCGCACTCAAATAACAATATCTAACTCGGGTGCGCATGGGCGCGCACTCTTGCTGCAATACCGAGCCTAGGCGCGCATGGGCCCGCACGTAAATAGCAATATCTAGCTCGGGCGCGCATGGGCGCACGCTCTCGCTGCAATACCGAGCCTAGGCGCGCATGGGCACGCACTCAAATAGCAATATCTAGCTCGGGCGCGCATGGGCGCACACACATATAGTAATACCGAGCTCGGGCGAGCATGGGCGCACACTCATATAGCAATACCGAGCTCGGGCGCGTATGGGCGCACACTCATACATCAAGATCAAGCTTGGGCGCGCACGGGCGCGCCCGTAAACATCAATGTCAAGCTTGGGCGCGCACGGGAGCGCGCTCTAATATCAACGTCAAGCTTGGGCGCACATGGGCGCGCACTCTAATATCAACGTCAAGCTTGGGCGCGCACGGGAGCGCGCTCTAATATCAACGCCAAGCTTGGGTGAGCATGGGCGCGCATTCTACTACCAGTACCAAGCTTGGGCGCGCACGGGCGCACACTTAAACATCAATGTCAAGCTTGGGCGCACATGGGCGCGCACTCTAATATCAATGTTAAGCTAGGGCGCACATGGGCGCGCGC